CTCCAACTTTGGTTTTTTTGTATTTTTGTATTATTTTATAATTCTTTTACATGGATTTTTTGTTTTACGTGAGGTTTACGCCTCAATCAGCCTCAGTCTCGCCTCATAAAGAAAAATCGCCTCAATACTTAGTTTCTTGGGTTAATACCCTAAATAGTCATTGAACTTTGCCAAAAATTCTTACTGAACTTCAAAACTTCCCTAAATAGTCACCGAACTTTGCCAAACCTCCCAATTGGTCACCGAACTTTGTAAATTAAGACCTCATACGTCAATGGTTCATTGACCAATTAGGGAAGTTTTGAAAAAAATTGATGACTATTTAAGGAAGTTTTGAAGTTCAGTGACCTCCTAGGAATTTATTGCAAAGTTCAATGACTATCTAAGGAACTTTTGAAGTTCGGTGACCTCCTGGGAACTTTTGCAAATTTCAATGACTATTTAGGGTATTAACCCTAGTTTTGCCTTTTAAACTTTGCTGGACTGAACATAATTCATGCGATATGGAGCTCCTAACCAGGAAAAGTTCTGACCACTGTCCCATACTATTCCATTTTAACAAAGCTTTCCTGAGGTATGATCCATTACGTTTTAGGTTTCAGAATATGTGGAGTACTCATGACACTTTCAAATAGATGGTTACTGTATATTGGAAAGAGCCGGAGAATAGCGTGGGACTTTGGAAATTAGCAGCTAAATTGAAAAAAAAACTAAGCTGGCTTTGCGAAGTTGGAATAAACTAGTTTTTGGCCATGTTACTCATCACATTAAGAAGCTGGAGGAAAAGGTTGAGAATTTAGAGAGTGAACTTCTTGCCACTAAAGTAAGGCTTCAGCTTTGGGAGAATAGGGAGGAGACTAGACTAGCACAAAAGGCAAAGAAGATGACCAAAATTCTAAATTTTTTCATGCAGTTGTCAATTAAAAGAGAAGGTCTTCACAAATCTCTTCCATGCGTTTGACTGATGGGACAGTATTAGCTTCCCCAGAAGAGGTTCATAATGGTGCTGTTAATTATTTTGAACATATTTTACCTGATAATGGGACAAGTGAGCAGGGAGATTTGGATTCCATTATTTCTACTGCTATATCAATGGAGGACAATGAATTGCTATGCGTGAACCAACGGAAGAAGAGATGAATGTTGCACTCTTTTCCATACCAGCTAGTAGTAGCCCCGAGCCTGAAGGATTTGGAGCCGGATTTTATACATCTTGTTGGGATTTAGTGAAAGCTGATTTGGTGGAGGCAACTAGATAATTTTTTAGGGGTAGCTCTCTACCCAGATTATACACATCTTCATTCATTGTCTTAATTCTGAAAGTGGATAAACCTGGGAGCTTTGATAAGTTCAGACCTATCAGTCTATGCTCAGTGGCTTACAAAGTTTTTTCGAAAATCCTCGTTACGCGCATGACATGGTTGCTCCCCAAGATTGTCTCTCCTGAACAGGGTGCATTTATTCTAGGGAGAAGTATTTTTGAAAACATCACCTTACTCAGGAAATGGTCCATTCTTTAAACAGGAAAGTTAGAGGTGGTAATATTATGATAAAAATTGACATGGCAAAAGTTTATGATAGAGTAGATTGGAGGTTCTTATTGCGTGTGCTTAAAGTGTTTGGTTTCTCTAAAAGGTTATGTGACTTGGTGGCTGAGTGTGTTACCGCCCCTTAGTTCTCAGTAATGATGAATGGGACCTATAAGGTTTTTTCAAATCAAGTAGAGGGCTTATCTCCTTATTTGTTCATCATTATGGAAAAGGTTTTATCACGTATGCTACATAAAAGGTTTGAAGATGGTAGAATAGGGAGGTTCTATCACCCTGCTGGGGCTCCTTTAGTTTCACATCTATTATATGCTGATGATGTGGTAGTGTTTATGAATGGAGGTAGACAATCTATGAAATTGCTGATGAAGACTCTGAACACTTACGAAAAGTGGTCGGGACAATTAATAAATATTGAGAAATCGACTATTTTCTTTTGTAAAATGATCAGCTATTCAAGGAAGAGAGGGTTGCTTCGATTAACTGGTTTTAAGAAGGGATTTTTTCCGATGGTTTATTTAGGGGTGCCTATTACCTTTGGTCGTCTTACGGCTAGACATTTGGAGACTCTGGTTGCTCGAATTCGCGCCAAGATAGCAGGTTGGAAAATGAGGCTACTTTCTCAAAGGGGTCATCTCAGTTTAGTCAGTTATGTCTTGTCCGATATGGCGACACATCTATTGTCTGTGGTTAATGTCCCGAAGAAAGTTCTCACTAATATGAATTCCTTATTATCCACGTTCTTTTGGGGTGAGAGTAATGGAAATCAGAAAAGGAAATGGCGTGCTTGGTCTACCGTTTGCATGCCAACTACAGAGGGTGGACTTGGGGTACGTGACTTTGCTGCCATTCTAAGAGCTCTCCATATGAAACTTGCATGGCGCCTTATGACCACTAACAGTTTGTGGTCTAGTTTCCTTCGTGCCAAATATGTTAAGAGTGGACATCTCTTACTGAACTCTAATAATAAATGATCCAATTTGTGGAAATCAATTGTAAATGTTGTACCTGAGATATATGAGAATTCGAAATGGAGGATTAAAGATGGGTTGGCATCCTTTTGGTATGACCCCTGGTTAGCGAGTGGCTCCTTAAGTGAGTATGTTCTGGAGGTATCTAATCAAGACTTCAGGTTAGAGATTGCTGGATTGAAGACAGTTGGGATTTCAATTATCTTAAAGAGCTAGTGGGTGAGACGAAGGCAGCAGAACTAGTTCAAACCACTGGGACTAGAAAAGAAGGAAGCGACATAATCATATGGAAGCCAAATGATAATGGAGAATTCTCAACTTCAAGTGATTGGGATATTGTAAGGGTGAGGAGTCCAGAGATTCCTTAGATGAAATGGATATGTCACATA